CTTAGGTACTGATTATTTACGTAGCTTTTACAGGAAGGGATAATTTATTTTATAGATAATAACAATACATAAATGACAGTGAAAAGAAATCGGTAATGGTCTCAAAGGACATGAGATCAACACTCAACATCGTAACCTTCAGTTGTTTCTTTAGATTAGGATCATTACTTTGCGGTAGGAAAAGACAACACGAAGGAAGTGAGTGTTGTCGTGGCCGTACAGGGTTAAAATATCAAATCAAGCAGATTCTCTATACTATCTATAGTCAATCATTTTCCCTCTTTAGAGCCCAAGAGGTCCTTATTGTAGTTTCTTTATATGTTTTTGAAAGAGTTTGTATCGTGTATCTATATAATATGGCATCTTTCTACCTAATCACCTTCAAAGGTTCTCGCTTTGTTTTGCCACTGGTCCATTTATTGTCACTCGTATTAATCGAAATCTTTGGCTAACACTGCCGTCAAGTTTTCTCTACGTTGGCATTATTCCAAGGTTTTTAGATACGTCAAAACGTAGCTATACGACTAGCATTTCCTCTACGCTTTAAAACGCCAACAAATCTACAGCTTGCTCTATCACCCGAACAAAAAACGTTCACTTTTTAACCCATTTTTCACTACTTGCGTGTACTAAATAAATACCATACACATGGCCGGTTTTGCGGACTTAAGAAAATGTAAACACTCTTTCTATGATGATGGGATGGGGCAAGGAAAAGAAACATCGCAATTGTTTTGTCGATAAGTAGCACATACGTGGCTATCTACACGAAACCGACAGTAGCAATTTTGAGTTTCTGAAATTCATTCAGACGTTTTTCGCTGACCATTAGTTTCAGAAAATTTTATTTTTTAGCTTCGCATATGACTTGAAAGTCTCTAACGTTTAGGTTTTTGGTTTGTACTACATTATGCGTTCAAACAAAATTTTACCCGTTTTGTTTCGCAAAATTGAGCGAATTCAGCGACTGTTAAACTTTTACATTTAATTTTGACGTTATCTTTAGTCTAAATTTCGGAGTTAAACTGGCGTGCTCTCAGTTTATTAAGTTATATTAAATTTTGTGAATGTAAATTCATATCTCTGCGTATATATATATTACAATGAGGGAATAACGAAAAGATTTCAGCTGTATGTGGTCTAATTAGTATCGTTTTTGTCGAGGATTCGCTGTATCTCGACAAAATTCGAACGCTTTGCTTTTACCCCACGCATCTTTTCAGCACCAGCTGACTAGACCGGGCAACGTAACGCAACGGCGTCGTCTGTTTGGTTGAGATTGAGTGACGCAAGCTTGCGCCAACCAATCGCGCAAGCCGACGGTGGCGGGCATCGTTGGTTTCGTGTTCCTCCAAGTTTGACACGGGATTGTCGGGACTCGGGGATCTGACGGTACTCTCTCTCGTATGGTAATACCCGTCGCTTCCCAGTGGAACCTAGTGATGTGGAGATTACTTCCTATTCTTCGTTCGTTCGGTGAGTTAGTTAGCTCGTTCTTATTTATGCAAATGTCTTGTGAACTTGTAACCTCTTGTTTACAACGTAGTAACAGTTTACAATACAGTACATCCCATTAATGACTCGACTTCAGTTTTCTCTAAATAAATATACATACGTTACTCTACGTCTCGGATATTTCTTCACTCGTGACAAAAATTTAATGGACACGAGTGACTGATTATCTGTTTGAATTTAATTTGCGCGTGTTTGCCCTTCTTTACGTGACCATCTTCAGGATTATGTGTGTGATATGTGTGCAATGCGCGACCAAATATCAAATAATTATTATCTGCGCAATTGTGGTGGGTGTTAACTTAGCCGATAACTTGTGCGGACACACGTGCTAACATGCATGTTAGTTACTAAACATTGTTTTTCTATTTAGTTACGGTTCATATCAACCAACCAACCCCTTGATCTACCAGTTCGTTTGTGACGCTTACTTTTCGATCAGACCGTGTATGTAGCCTAAGTTTTACTTTTTATTTGAACTTAAAAAAAAATTTTTTCGCAGGTTTAAATTGATGATTGATTTACACTTTTATTGTTTTTGTCATTTTAAAATATTTACGGTAATAATTGTCCACTATTATCGTGCAGTGAGGCATGTCAAAATATAAAAAATTAAATAGATTGCTCTTTATCAAACAACAGTAATGTAAAATGTCTTAACATATTCCGTTTTTTTTTTACTGTCTTCGGTTAAATTGTAAACATTTACAAATAACTTAATTAAACAAGTGCATTTAAAAAACAAGTTTTGGAGATACGGACAAACTTAAATGAACTTATAAGGGACAATATTTTTTTGTTAATTATTGTCTTAATAGGTACATAATTAGTCTGTATTTATTGAAATTATAATGCATGCTGCTTCCGGTTATTACTCGTAATTTAACTTTAATAAATGCAATTTAAAGTTTTTGAGAGGTATTATGTTTTGTTCAAAGTTCGGTTATAGTTTCGGGCAATTTTCGTAAAAGCAGGTAATACGTATTTTCAAATATACATACTTAGTTGAAAAAACATATTCCACATGTTCGCATTAATTTATGCATTTTCGCTCATGCGAAATAAAAAAAAGCCTACAAATAATTGGTATTTTATCTTCGTATTTGTTATGTTTTGCTTTACCTGCTTAAATGGGTGCAAATTCGCAATAAAAACTTTATGAGAAAGGCATAAATTTCACTTGTACCTTTTGGCGAATTTCACTAATTGTAACTAAAGGATTTTTAAAAAGGTAGATACCTGAATGTCTCTTTTTTTTCTGTATATACAAAATAATATATAATGTTTCCGTATGATGTGTTCGTGTTTTCGTAGGAATGTAAATTAGTTTACGAAAAAGGTACATTAAGAAATAATTAATAGATTGTCTTATGTTAGTGTCATCTCTTCTTTACCTAGCTCAACACAGTGGTCAGTCGGGTGCGGGTAAAAATCAGCATTCGGTACTTTTATAAAATAATGTCAAGTAGGGGTAAACAAATTCGCTGGAATAAACATAACAATACAAGATACGGTGTTGCATAACAAGTTTTGTTTTTTTATGTAAATCACACATGTCTCTGTTAAGTGAAAAGCTAATTATACAAACAGTCATTTTGAGAATAACCTTGGTTTCAGTGATGTTATTCATACTAGTACATTATTCGGTCATCTTCTCTTGTTTAGCCTCTTGGTAAGTCTCAAAATGACATAAATTTTACTGCTACTGTTACTACCTTATTCATTGTACAACCGCATTGTTATTCATCATGTATTTAATTCGATTTAAAGCTACTACATAAACCCGTTCTTTTCAATTCGACATACTTTTGCAGAAATATTTACAAAAATCTTAGTTCTGTAAACGCTGCAAAACAATACTCTTTTATAACTATAAATGTATTGATTCTCTTATCAACCGATTAATCATACTTATGCACAGATTTTCGGTAAAATAAATATCGAAAAATTATTTATTGATTTTATTGTTCGATTGTAAAAAGAGGAATAGGTAATGGTTTTTTAACAGTACAGACAGCATGGTGAACACCTAAACTGTTAGTTCATTAATGTTCTTTTGTTTTTTAATTAGCGACAACATACACTAATTTAGTGTATTTTTATATTATATGAGATATTTTAACGACGTGTGAACTAAAAATAGAGAAATTCAGTTCTGAATTTAGCTTTTAGAGAAAAAGCAATTAGCATTCTTGATTTACAACTAAATGATGCTCGACCAGTTAGGTATGTTTTTTACCTGAGGCTAAACACTTAATCGTTTTCAGATTTTCCACTAATAAAACATTCTAATGACAATTATTTTTCTTTGCTTATACACATGTAAATTTTAATATAATTGTGACATGAAGAATTTGCACTGCCTTTTAATGAAATGCAGACATCCGATACGAAATTGAAATCTTTTCTATTGGCAGTAATTAGGTACGTGGGTGCTTAGTAAGAACCCGTAAGGATTTTTTTTTGCGCCTGTCAACAAATTGCTTAGTTAAATGTTAAAGTAGTTATAATATTATATATGCAAAGGAAATCTCTTATCGAGTTTTAAAGAGGAACAAAATTATTCGAGCGTTTGATTATTCTCGTTTCGAAAAAGTAGTGACGCAGAAGAAAAATTTCATTTTCAAGCACTACATGCTACTGGTTCAGGTGAGCGCGTAGGAGGACACTTCGGCCTTGCTATCGATCGACTCAATCCATGCCGGGTCTTGAACAGGGTCACTAGATGTGCGGGTGTCCCCTACCTTCCAGAACCGAGCGGCAATAAGATCGACTTGAAAATTAACGAAGGTCGCTTTCGATTTCGAACACTTGGATCCCCTTTTATTTCGATAATACACTAGTGGCGAGTTATGAGCCGAATGTAGGGATGTTCAGTCATCGAAGGGTCACATCATCTTTTGAAAAATGCGACGGTGGTATAGGGAAATTCGTACAAATACCTTCAGTCATCTCTTCATATAATTAATAAACTAATATAAGTCTAATAAATGTAATTTAAAACTTTTGTTACACTTTGAAAAAATTAAGCATTTTCGTTCGTGCTACTTAAAAAGTAAAAGTTCCGACAAAGAATGCGTAATTTCTTTGTTCGGAGGAAAACTTTTTGCCTTACCTGTATACGGAAAGTCATCACTGGGAAGAAACACCCGTCTTTATTTTCGAGTCATTCTATGGGTTCTTGTTAGTTAGGAAGAAATTGATTTTCACCCGCTATATTTCCTACCCGCAGCCTCGCGAAAATTCTTATATACCACAAGTTTTCGCCTTGATTGTACATAATTTCAATCGAGTTTGCCTTTTATTTCATAAAAAGTATATTGTAATAAGAAAATTCTAAATCTTCATGTTTTGAAGAAGAAAATATCGCTGGTCATATTGTTTGCATAAGTTTATTATCATTTACAGTACCTACGATATTTTTTCAATACTATTTTTTAAAGGTTTTGCGAAGACCTCATCTTAATTATATATCTCTTTTGTTGCAGATTACTGAAACTGAAAGCTCAAGGACAGTTATAGTTTGCGCATCTTTACAAAGGCTATAGCCAGGTTATTTATTGGTTCAAAAGGTTACACAATATCGGCCAAAATTGCTACCATGGGTCGTAAAAAAATACAGATATCGAGAATAACTGATGAACGAAATCGACAGGTAAATAAATAAAGTTTATCCAAAATCGAATTTAAATCGTATTAACAATAATGTAATATTTCATCGTAAATAAGCAACTTCTTCGATTTGTTTTCGACTTACTTAGTGAATGTTTCGGTTATAGGTAACATTCAATAAGCGTAAATTTGGAGTCATGAAAAAGGCGTACGAATTGTCAGTGTTATGCGATTGCGAGATAGCGCTTATCATTTTTAGTAGCAGCAACAAACTTTATCAGTATGCCAGTACTGACATGGATAAAGTGCTTCTCAAATATACCGAGTACAATGAGCCTCACGAATCACTTACCAACAAGAACATTATCGAGGTATATCAATCCCAGCTGTATTGGTAATTGGCTGATATACAAATAGACTGAACTCGAAACTATTTCCATTTATTCGAAATAATAAAATTTACTTAGTGGGTATAATTCATTATATAGTTCGGTATTATGGCGGCTTTGGCAGCCATATTGGTTCTGACGTCGTTTAAGCAATTTCGCTAGTTGTATTGTAATAATAAGAAAGAAAAAAGTAATTAACGCGTGCCCATTCGATCTATTTATTATTATCGGCCAATTATGAAATATAATTCGATCTTAGAAAAATGTAAGAACGAATTAATGAGCGAATGATGTTGTTGCGTACCTGACGTGTGCGTGCGCGACTGAGTGTAGTTGTTCAATGTTTATAAGCCTTTGGGGCTACTTATCTCCATGAACTGTGTCCACTGACACTTGCAGGCACTTAATAAGAAGGAGCACAAGAACGGGGTTATGAGTCCAGACAGCCCTGAGCCAGAGACGGAGTATCAATTGACCCCACGGACCGAAGCCAAATACAGTAAAATCGACGAAGAATTCCAGATGATGTTGCAACGAAATCAAATGAACGGACAAAGGGTATGCATATGTCTATTTAACTATCAATTTATTATTTTAATATAAAAGTTTTTTGATCCTTTATTTATTCTTTGTAAGACGTAACAATAACTGTTTTTTTTTTTTTTTTGAATTATACATCTTGCGACCTTACATTAACTAATTTTGGACGTTTTACCAATATTTACATATTAATCTGGTAGTAAATTTAAATCGTTTTTAATCAATTAATTTCAATTTTTAATTTCCAGCAAGTGAATATGTCTGCATCGAACTATAGTCAACCAGTATCAGTACCGGTAAATATAAGCTATGGGGAATCAGGTCTACTCCAATCTAGTCCACAGATGGCCCACACAAGCATAAGTCCAAGGCCCTCTTCCTCGGAGACAGACTCTGTTTACCCAAGTGGCGGTATGTTAGAAATGAGCAACGGCTATCCCAATTCCGCATCTCCTATAGGCGGTTCACCATCTCCGGGGCCCAGTCCCGGTCCAGGTTTGAGCTCCTCGAAACAGTCACACAGCAGCAAGCAACATTCACCGGGATCACGGTCTAACCTGCGAGTCGTTATACCCACTCAGATAGGACAAAACTTGTCTTCAGATGAAGTTTCATATGGAGAAGTAAGTCATCTACCATGAGTGTGTTTAGAGCTAATATTGCTTCTTTTTCACGGAACTTATTCTCGAAAATATAAAGGAACAGTAATATATTTTTTTTCTTTAATTGGATAATAAATTATTTAAAATTAAAAGAAAGAATCCAAGCAATGAAAACGTTGAAGGTGACCGTAGAATAATAAATTTTACACATCTACAAAACCCTAGTTCAAGTGTCATTTAGGAACGAGATTTGAATTTACTTCGAGAAAAAGTACCGAGAGAATTTTTGAGCGCTGGTTAGTAGTAGTATCTCTTGCAGCATAATCGGGCGCAGTCAGCATTGAACACACCTGTGGTGGCATTACAGACTCCTGGACTATCAAGCTACCCTAGTGCACTTTCGTCATTTGGAGCTCAGGATTTCAGTATCGCCCAGGACATGGGCTTGGGTTCAATAACCTGGAGCGGGCACCAGATCCCGACCTCGCTGGCACACAACAGCAGTTTACCTCATTTGGCGGTATCCAGTAGTACGCCACCACCATCTTCGTCACCGTTACCGATCAAAATTAAGAGTGAACCCATATCCCCGCCTCGCGAACACCACTTGCATCTAGCAGGAGGTTTGCACCATCCTCAGGCCCACAGTTTAAATCTTACTCAAAGTAGCCATCATCCACGGCCGAGTTCTGCAGGTCAGTTAACGCCGACACCGGGAAGTGCGACGCCAACAAATTTGCCATCACCACCAGGACCACCGAGTAGCGGTGGTGGTGGGGGTGGAGGAAGCGAATACGATAATGGACCGATGCTCAAGAGGTCACGCATTGCTGACGGATGGCCATCATAGGCGTGGTATTGTTCCGAGTGGTTCACCACGCGTTTGTTTTCCAACGTTAACTTTTGTGATAAACTGATGATGAGATGGTGAGAATTTGCGCGACTTTTTTTCGTACATGCATATTAAGAAAAAGAAAAGAAAATTATGTATTTGTACCGCGTTTATAATATCATGACGGTCCTGGAATAATAAATTTTTATTTGGCTGAAACGAACAAACTGCCAAAAAAGTAGTAATGATAGTCGAGTGGTTGGTGTGCGAGCGCGCATGAGCGAGACTATTTTTTTTTTCGTTTGAAGAACACATAACTTTAGTGCCATCATTTTTTCTTGTAATATTGTTAGTGTCTTTTTTATAAATGTTTTTAGATAAACACAAATATTATTTATATTGTACTGTTACATAAATAGTATGAACTTAACCAATGGACCCTCGATAGTACTTGGTGCTTTCCTCTGTCTGCCCAAATGTACTCATGTACTCTGTCAACTGGCTGTATCGCGTGGTCGCCCTTGCGCCGCCCATCCGTGTTAATTGTACTGCTTCCCGTTGGAACCTAGAGTGTTCATTGTTGTAGCCTTTTCGATTTGTTTGTGATTTTTCAGAGTATGGTAATATGTATCTATTCTGTATATTACTTAAAAAAAAAGAGTAAAAGAAGTATATATATTATTATACATTTGTCAAATATGATACATATATTTTATCTACTGTTGTGTGCACAAACCTTTGCACATAGATTTGAAGTTTAAATTGGGCCTCTCAAAGTCCCAAAGGGCGGACAACCTCCCTTCCACTACACTACTGTAGGATTGCCTTACTCACAGTGCCTCGACAATATGTGTACGTATCTTACGATTACCGCACCATCGATGTAGCAGTCATCATCAAACCCAGTCGTTACCCATAACTAAAGTTTGGGCCTACATCGTTCTACCGAATGCACAATGCCAATAACTTTTCCACTTACCATTTCAAAAAGTTTATTGATCATTTAATGTAGATTTTTGTCTTAGATTTCGTGTTGGCTGTAACATATTTGTTAATGTAATCGATTATGTATTAAATTTAACTTTTTTGTAATGCATCAATGGGAAGTGGAAATGTGGAGTTGGTTCCTTTGGGTATTCAATAAAACGTTCACTTTGTCAATTTCCACAGGGTATTACATGCTGGTGTTACGTTCCTTTTCTAAAATAATGTAGCCAGCATGCCCCAGAGCCATTATAATGATTAGTCGACAGGCAGACGCAGATTTGAATGTTAAGTTTGTCTGTATTCTACTCATAGAATATCTGGGAAAGATGATGGGTGTCGCTGCTTGTGCCTTCTTCTTGACCCAATCCTACCATGACCCCCCTTTCCTTTTTTGGCTTCCGTGTTTGCACCGTATCTATCTTCTTCTATGTTTTCATCAGATGTCTTTGCCGTTGACATGTCAGTTGATTCGATAATGTTCATTTCCTTCAAAAAAATATTTGAGTCCAATAGTTGGATGGATGTTCTATCTGGAGGGCGCAGTTGTACATATAAAATATATTTTGTTGTGGCTAAAAAGATGGTTACTGTTTAAATTGTTGTAAAAATTTATGTACCCCTCGGTGTTGCATCCATTCATTTGGGCATTTTCAGTGATGTGCAATATTAATCTGAATATTATTTATCTATAAAATGATGTATTAATTTTAAACCAAATAAAATTGTTTGTTACATGGTTTATTGCGATTTCTTTAGTACGTTTTAGGAAGTTGTGTATTCACTTATTTATCATCAAACCGTTTGTTATTACTGTAAAATATGTGTTTAATAAATTAAAACTGAAGTACAATATAATTCGAGCAATTTATCGACAACAATTCGAAATGATTATAATTACAGCTCTAGTTTTACGCAATCTAAAAGATAATATCCTAATTTTAGTTATTTTTAAAATATTTTATGAGACTTCAGTCTCCTTTAAGTATTTAACTCTCTTTTTCAGTTAAAATGTTAAACTTAAATAATCTCCGGAATATGAATAAGTATTAAACGTTATTCGAGAATAGATTGGGCAAATGAAGCGTAAAAAATTTACTTATTGTTAGTCACGTAAAAAGTTCTTTATATACCATATGAATTAATACTATTCATTAAAATTCTGTAATTATTTTACTCATTAAATTATTTTATAGTTCGATCGATTATTTCTCAAACAGGTTTTATAGATATGCACGTTAGGAATATAAAATTTTACGGAAATAGGGGGAAACACCTACATATGCCAAAGAGAAAGTTCGCAAAACAACTACCTTTTTAATGAACAATTACATTTAATTTGTTTTGCAAATTGATACAGTACAGTAGACGGTAAACAAATTCATTTCTGAATTTTGAATTTGAAGAAACATTTTTCATAGTTGTATGTTATCTTATCCACTTTTTTTTAGAGTCATGTGTTATTCTAAACACTACAAAGCTGACGTTAATAGGACATAACCTTATTTGCGACAGTCAACACATGACAAATGTTCTATATCGATTTATAAGTGTAAACATATTTATAAATAAAAATACTTATGAAAGTGTAGCAATTACTGTATAAAGTTAATTAAGCAAACAATCTTAAAGTAGTGTGACTAGAAATGATAATCAATTTATTAGTTTAATTTTATATCAACATTTTCGTAACGAAGGAAACTTATGTCATAACAAATAATAAGAAGTTACAAATGTAAAATGAGTCCAATATTAAGATATAACATTTTTGAATAAATTGGGGCTGAGTTTATTATGGACTCCATGGATGATATTAATCAAAGGGGAAAACAACCAAAATTAGGGTTAGGTCGTTTAGAACGATATTATGGGCCCTATAATTTTGAAGAGAATGATCCAGAAATTCGTGGATGGAAAGATAAATCTTCAGATTCTAATAATTATTATACTCGTCGTCAAAATTACAAATATTTGAGTGAAGATGAGGACTTTGAGGTGCAAGATATAGTCAATCGCTCTTTTAGTAGCAGAACACCTCCAATACATTCAGAGGAAGGTATGGCAAATCCCCATCTTTAAAGAAGTTTTAATAAGTGTTTTCTTTTTTTCAGATAATGCTTTAATGAAATATGTAGGAGCAGGAGTGTCACTGGCTAGTCTTATTACTGAGAATCTGTTAAATCATCCTTTTGTGGTTTTAAGAAGGCAATGTCAGGTACTGTTATAAATTCAGTTATAAAGGAAATCAGTTGAAGCTAAATAAATACAAGAGCAGTTTTATATTTTAATTATTTTAGGTAAATAATGTTTCAAGACGTTATCACCTGATACCTGTTACTCTAGTACCTGTTATTATTCAAATTCATAGAAGTCAAGGTTTAACTACCTTATGGAAAGGTATAGGATCAGTTTTATTGGTACGTGGCATGACATTAGGAGTTGAAGATTTAATATCAAAATTGACTTTGTGGCCTAAGTAAGTTTCCTTGATAATTATAGATGCAGAGCTCAAATTTAGGTTTTTATTTTAGAGATATTGATTGGGAAGAAGTTACATGTAAATCATTTTTCAAACATATATTATTGAAATGGTGAGTAGGCATGGGGGGCATCCTTTACATTAGTTTTGTGTTATCATTTTTGCAGCTGCAGTACAGCTGTAATCACTCCCTTTTACTCAGCTTCATTAGTGGAAACTGTCCAGAGTGAAATAGCTAGTGAAAAACCAGGATTTTTTGATGTTTTTCGAGAAGGAGTGTTGAGAATGTTTACTTGGGGATCTGGTTTTAAAGGGCGAATGTTGCCTATTTGGATTTTAATACTCCCAACCGTTATATTAACTGTTTCTCGGTACTTAGCTCATATTGGACTAAAAAGGGGGGCGTCGCGCTTTTTAACTCTATTCAGCGAGCGAAAATTTAAATATACAGGTGTCAGACCAAAGGAATCTCTCACTATGCATACCCGGCGTCTAGAACTTGAAACTGAAATGAATGCCTCATTCATTGCACTTGTTGTAGCAGACACTATTTTTTATCCATTAGAAACCGTTGTTCATCGTATTCACTTACAGGTGATATTATTTTAATTAAAAATTTATAGTATAATAGTTTATTTTTTACAATACAGGGAACTCGTACTATAATAGACAATTTGGAAAATGGTAAGACAGTCTTAGCAATTTTAACAAATTATGGAGGTTCCATTGATTGCTATGAGAAATGTATAGAAATGGAGACACCGGCTGGATTGTACAAAGGTTATGGGGCCTTAATATTACAGTATACAGCCCATATTGCTTTAATTAAATTTACCCATTTTGTTTTCATGCAAGTGGCAGACATAATAAGAAAAACCCGTAACAGTAAGGGAAAGCAAGTGTAATTTTAGTAAAGGTAATTGTTAGTATGTAATTTTTTATTAATTATGCAGTTGTTTAATGGAAATTAAAGTACTATTTTCTTTTTTGAATCATAAAAAGGCTGTAAGTTATTTCATTTGTTGCAATTAGTAATTTCTTATTAATAAATTATCAGTGATTAATGATTTATTCATTTGCTTAGTACTAAAACTTTAGTAGAAGTAATGGTTCAGTTACATTAATTTTTTGTTTGTTTGTTGTATATTATCTTGTCTGCAGGAAAAAACTTTTTATGAGATAATTGAAATTCAAAAGCAGTACAATTAAAATTTTTTATGAGATTCAATTGTAAAAAATTAACAACAAATTTACAGTGTATATATAATCTATATATGTAACTTTATACAAAAATTTACGTTGTACTTGTACAAAAAATGAGTATAAAATTGGGTTTCGGTATTTTGTAGCACCGTTCTTCTTAATGAAATAAAAATAATTATAAATCATCATCACCGATGCCTTCAAAAGCGTGGTTTTCCACAAACTCTCTGCCACTTTTAAATGAAACTGTACTGAATTTCTCCTGAAGTTTTTTAATTGAAAATGATTCTTGGGTTTTTGGAGAAGGGTTACAGTGATTCTGCAAAATGAAAAAGATTAAATGCACTTGACTAAGAATTATAAAAATAACAACTGAATTATATACTTACTTGTGTTGGATTAACATCTGGATTGTCTAAACAAACCGAGTGTGACGACCCATCTCTTTTCATATACACCAAATTCCCTTTAATAGTATTTTCCTTTCTTGAATCACCATTTTTCTTTATTAAAAGCTCATCTACCATGGACTGTAAGCACACAGACATTAAAATGGCCTGTTCACTTGTTATAGTTATCCATTGTAATTTGTCTTTTGACATCAAATACTCAAAAGATAACTCCAAATCGGGGTTTCCAGTGCATTTACTATTTGCAGCGGTATTCTGCTTGTTCTAAAATATGTACAGGAGATTATATTTCAATTCTCATTTCAATATTTGACAACACTAAGTTCTAGTACAATATATGTAATGAGTAGAATTTCTCGATCAAGTAATGATAAATACAATTTCACCCACATGTGTGGCTGTTATTCTCCAGCACCTCATGCGTGTAACTTTAAAACATCCTTCTTTGACAAAAGGACCATCACCTACGATTCTTAGTGAAAGTTCTTGACCTCCAGCGGCTAGTAAAACTTTCGTCTGTGGTTCAGGATAGTCACAATAACAAGGATTAAACTGTATAAATCCGTAATATTTTAAAGTGCGCGCTAATTCGATGTAGCTATGCTTGTCTAGACATGCTTGCAGTTGAGCTAATTCCGTCTTTATGTCTTTATTACAAATTATCCATCCTTTTTCTATATCAAAAACTGTCTGAATGTAAAGGAGATTTAGAGCTATTGGATTTTTCATTATTTCATTGTCATATTCTGAGTCCCAGTAACTAAACAAAAAAAAAAATAGTTGTATTACTAATTGAATACAGGAAAAAAACATATTTCAATAACAGTAAAATTTAAGATCACTTAATTAAAAGGTTAATTTAATTGACATTTATATGTGCACTACAACTATTATCCTCAGTTGAAAGTTGGCTAAAAGGTTGTGATATGTATAAATTGTATTGTTTTGTCATAATAGTTTAAGATGTAAGTATCAAAGTATCACAGAATGATTGCACTACTGCTTATATTCAGAGTTTTAACTTAAGTATCATTTGTTAAATAATTATTACCTTTTTCTCAAAACTATTCGAAATGAGGTATCGTTGTATATTTTACTTGATATGTAAGGTGATTCAAAATCCTGCAATTTACGTATAATTGTTATCTCACCATTTTCTTCTCTTTTAATAAAAAATAATGAGAAATATCCAATATATAACAATGGAAGATTCAGATGCTTGCATGCTTTAGTTAACACTTGTCTTGTTCTGTCAGTGGATAAAACTTTTAATGGAATGTGGTAGTTATTTAGTAAATAAATATCTAAAGTCCTCTCTTGCTTCTTTTCACATGCAGTTTCTTGTTGGGCAGATAAAAGAAATCCCACAAATATCTCAGAAGAAATAAGTTTTGGATCTTGGCCCACTATAAGAATAAGTATAATAAAAAAATTGGTAAACATAAACCCACACTACAAGTGCTTTTTCAGCAGGTGACAAGATATATGCAATAATTAGTGTTTTATCTAAATCATTAAAACATGATGTTTCAAACACAAAGTGTTCCAACTATGAATACTTTATGGATGCTTCCTATCTCTACTTACAAGTTTGAATATACTTTTCTAATAAAAGTCTCCTCTCTTCCACTTGGCCTCCACTTAATGGTAATAGCTTCTTGGGTGGAAATGATGGCACTAATTCACTACTAAATTCCTTTTTTAACTGCTCATGGAGATTGTGAAGCTGTCTGTATCTAACAGAACAGTGGAAAACACCATTTATGTGTATATTAAAGCCCTGCAGACATCAAATTTTAATAAAAATATGGACATATTTTATTTTTATCTTACTAACAATGTAGGTTGAACCATTTCCATCATTAAATTCCTGTGTATCTGGAATTGAAAAATGCATTTTTCGTAATAAGAGTATTTCAGAATAAAAATTTCATGTATATACAGAGCATAACAATAAACAGTTTTTTGAAAAATTTAATATACATGTACAATGTGTACAATTTACTTCTAATCTGTCATTTTAAACTTGCAGTTTTGACTACAGAAGAGCAGAGAGATCTCATAAAGATATCTATAGATTTTCTATAGATCTTCATTTTCATCACGATGTTAAACATCTTTTTTATTGTTATTGTATAAAATGCTGTTAGAATTTTATTTTTTTTATATATTTATTTTNATTTATTTTTATTAATAATTTACTACACAGTCTTAATTAATACAAATGTGTATATGTTACTGTGTTGTAGATTTAATATCCAAAAAAACAAATCACTTTTTAGTTTGAAAAATAAGTTTTCGCGCTGATGAATCTTTGGATTGTTTGACCTTGGAAAATTTCAGAATGTTTTCAAATCTGTATCATCTAATTTTTAAAGTGCATTAATTATTACATTAACGACTTTAATTAACGTTCGTGTAAGTGTACTAATGCTATTACTCATGATATACTACTACTATTTTTATTTACAGTGAGGAAGTTTTTTTGTGGCTTACGTATTTATTTTATTGGGTGAAAACCACATGACAAAGCCATATGATCAACTATTTACATGGCTGTCACAGTGTAACTGACCGTTATTTTACTTTTTTTTATTGCTGTTTACTGTTACAAGTATATTTGCATGACAGTCATGAATTAACCAAACTACTGCTGTAAGCAAGCTATATTAATTATAAAGGTTAATTGGCTCCAAATTAACAATGTGGAGCATATGGCTTACTCTCTATATGAATTTTATTAAACTATTTCGACGTATTAACTGCAAGTACGTAGACGTTGACTAAGCAGGCAACTATATGAATTATTTTATGCCTGCTAATATAATATGCACCAGTGGAGAAACATTGTCAACTGCTTAAGTGTTAATCATAGTGTTCATCCATCAGCACCTGTGGCTCCCAATCATAGTGAGTTTTTGCAGATAAGTAATAATGTAAAAATAAGAGTGATACATGTAAAGGGAAAGGGTGTGGATTGCAAAATTTCTGAAGAAAACAAAGAGGTAGTAAATAATGCTGAAAAGAGGCCACAAAGTTTATATGAAGAATATTGGTTTACACGTAGCAACAAACCACCAAAGTTTCAAAGATGTAGCTGTTCTTTTAGAAGATCTCAAAGACTGTCAGGAGTGATTTTCACTAAAGATAATGAGAGTGCATTAATAGGAAGTTGTGATACAATACAGAATATACGACTGAGATGTGTAGAATTATTTGTTGAAAATGTTATTGATGACTGCTTATTTGAAGCATTTAAAGAGTATGTTTCAAAGTCTTGTCAGTCTTCAAGTGGATTCCATAATTTAGGATTTGAAAGTAGTGAAGACTGTGAGAATATAGCAATTAAGATTAATGAGAGAAAGCAGATCATAGAAAATTGTCTAGAAACAAGAAATAATCCATGTAATATAGAAAAAAATGGTATAGTTAATTCAGAAAGCCAAAATCCTGTTGTAAGACTTCGTAATAGTAGTACCCATAAATTTAATTCTCAGACAACTAATAAGAAAAGACATTGCACACATAGTTCATCTGCTATTTCTGTAAGTAATTACACTTTCTATTTTTAAGATGTAGAACCTGTAGTTTACATTTATTACTGTTTTATATGATATGTTATTTGATTTCAAATACATATTTTAAATGGGTCTGTTATTTATACAATACTTAATATATAATTTCAATGATATTAACAGCAGATCTTTTTCAGAAACCTCTTATTATTCTTTTCCATGGAATTGGTACTTCAGCAGATGTTTGGTGGTCTGTGATAAACTGCCTGAGTTTGAATGGCCATGAAGTAGTAGCTCCAGATATGTTAGGACATGGGTATAGTTCAGTGCCAAATCAAGCTGGGGTATATAAGTTCAAGAATTTAGTAAAACAAGCGTTGGCTGTCTTTGAACATTATGTAGAATCAAGTGACTCAAGAAAGATAATTGTAATAGCTCACTCTTTAGGGTAAATTATTTTCTTGCTGTATTTCTGATTTTGCAGTATTTATTCAGTTAAATAGTTTTAAAATATTTGAAATTTGTTTTTAGGTGCAGTATTGCCACAGCTCTTTGTAGACACAAAGTACAACAGGTATCCCAGTTAATTTTGATTAGTGGTGGGGGACCAACACCCTTGGCACCCCCTGTACAAAGTGAAATTCCTTTAGTAAGGTGTCTGCAGACTATTTTCAAGCCTCTCTTATTCTGTGGGGTAAAACGGTGAGTGAAAACTTATTATGAAAATATATGTAAACATTTTTTTAATTTTTCACTCTAAACGGTAGATGGAAGCCTACATTCTTAATAATGAAACCCTTGGTTTGATTTCAGGACTTTGCTGTACTCCTCAAGGGGGAAACATTTTGAGTGTTGTGAGAAAAGTAAAACTGTAGTGCCTGCCCATGTCTTACACTATATAGAGAAGGGACAGTATTGGCCTGAGGGTGATGCAGCCTTTCACAGAAAAATTCACATTCCTACATTACTTGTATATGGTTTACAAGATAAACAAGTCACTCTAGTTCAAGAATGTGAAATGGAAAGGGTATGAGCTTTATTTATAATTTAAAAAAAACATTTTTTTTTGTATTGCGATTAAAGAAAAGATGACAAGTTGACAGACGTATTCGTAGTCTAATTTAGATCTGAAAAGTAACAACAGGTGACTTATTAAACGAGTATTTGATTTTAGACGATTCCGAGGTCGTTTTTAGAATTAATACCTAATTGCGGGCATCTTCCTATGTTGGAAACTCCAGAACAGTTAAATCATATGATTACTTGTTTTATTGACTGGTGGAATAGATAATAAAGCTTATTTTTTTTTGTAATTACATTAGAATGTGAAACTGTACGTAATAATGCTCTTGCAATTTGTAAATATTACCTTGAAANCGAAATTCAGTTGCGTTCAGTTGCTTTGATTCAATACATAATCTACGTAGTGATCGTACGAATAGACATAGTTTTGGCGGTGAGTTTAAAACATTCTGGAATGACTGTCTAATAAAAGAAAATATTTAGTTACTTGTCGTTCACAGTATCCTTTTATCTAGTCCTGAGTAATTTTTTCTTTTAAATTTAACTAATAATTACATTATTTCACATGCATTTGTTTTTACGTACTTTCACAATTTGTGTGTCAAATAAGACAGATGAAAAGTTCTTATTAGTTTATTCCCATTTTAGAAGGCATTAAAACAATAATTAAAGAAAAATGGATGTTAGCAAAATAACTTTATTTCATCACAATAACTTAGACAAATTACTTGGTATAAACATTATTTAAAATCAAAGACATTTTTTGCCGCATTTAAGTGCATACACTGATAAAAATCGCCCACTATTATAATTACTACAATGCAATCAATAAAGCGAATTTCGCTTATAATACACAATATGTAATTAATAAGGAGAAAAAATGGATTGGTAAAGCTGTTGTAAATAATATAAAGAATATGGCGTTGAGCTGAGTAGGTACTCCAAAAATTAAGCCATTCTGTATGCAATAGACACATGCAGAGAGCTCAACTGGTTTGTCCACTTATCCAAGGCATTATAATGTGAAGAACTGACACTTTTTCTATCTAGTAGAAGTACCTGATTCACCTGGTCTATTCTACCTCGAATTGTACTAAAGAAAAAAGATAGTTAGCAAATAGTAACTTAAACAAGAATATGTATGCGCAATATCTAAACACTTAAAATTGTTAAATAAGAAAAATGATCATACTTGTCTAGTATACAGGATACCAGTAAACTTTCTACTTCAGTCACATCAATATTAAGTTCTTTTGAAATGTGAGGTATTTGTATTCTTGTATAAGGTTTAATGAGTTTTATAAGAACTTGTGTTCTTATGTTTCTAAGCAAATCTAAAAAAGAAAATGTGAGTAATACATAATACAAGTAAAATAATTGAATATTTTTAAGTCCATACCTTCAATATGTTCACGAATGAAAAGATCATCCATAATATTTTGTCGGTTCTGTTTCAAAATTAATTCAAATTCATTTATATCATTTGTTTGGTAAGCATTAACAAGGTTGGTCATAGCTAATATTTCAGGATCGTTTTTGTAGGGTTTAGCTTCTTGAGAATCAAATGGATTAATTCCAGACTTCATTAGCCTAAAAACCAAGTAAATAATTTTTGATTAATTTAAGTTTCTTTTAACTAACATATTAGCAAGAACCAAATATTTCAAACATGTCGTACGCCGCGGACTGCCTGACTCATCGTAGTTTTTAAATGCTTCAAAAAAGTCTGTATGGGCCTTTTCAAATTCGCCTTCTCTAAGATGCATTTTGCCACCACATTCTGAAAAAAGTTGTTTTATTGGTTTACTTTTTGATAACTGTGCATTATTTATTTATTACCTCTAATTACACCCATGATAAGAGGATGAGGAATTGCAGATTTTATATGCAAAGATTGCTCATAAAGGGTCTTTAACTTTTTGTTATTCTTTTGAGCAGTATACATCTGAATCTCCAGAGCATATATTTCCAGTAATTGTGTGCCTTTCTTTAAATCATCTTCTCCATCATCTGTTTGACATGACTGGTGTAGTTGTTTTAAAATTCTTGATAATTTGTTAAAATCACCCCTATCATAATATAATTTTCCTAATTTTGTGTTTGTTTTAAACCACAGGCGGTCGTTTTTGGCATCTTTTAAAGCTTCTAATGTTGTTTCATAAAAGTCTTGTAACAATTCCATCTAAAATTATTATAAATAAGAAACAGGATCTAGAAATTTTTAATTATTTTCACATTTTTTGATGTAGAAATGTAATCCAGTATTGAGTTAATTGATTTTTCACTGTGGTTTCTTGTAACAGCAGTTTTAATGTATGTTAGCAGTTGCTTGTAACGAACCATCATTTCATTAAAGTTTCCCTGAAAATCAAACATAGTTTATTGCTTAAATATTACAAGACTGCTAACACTAACCAGCTTAAAATTTATTTTGATCATTTGCTTCAAGGCTTTAAAACCCCATTCACCTTTTTCACCGCTTTCTAAATCTAATACTCTTTGGAAAGATGCTAGTGCAAGCCTTGGGGCATCTTCCTTAAGAGCTTTGCTGTTGTAGTATTGGTTCTCTAAATCTACATCCGGTTCTGAATTACTATCTTCAGAATATTCCTATTAAAAAGGCGTTAAGAGATTATATTTTTATTCGTACAAATAAGGTTAACATAGCGGTAACGCTTACCAAACCATAATCCTCTTCATCGTCGTCACACATAAAATCGTCTTCAGCATCTGACATTGCTTTAAAATGTATTTAGGTATAAATTATATGAATAAATACGTAGAATAAAAAATTAATACGGTAATAAGCAAGCACTTTGACAACATTAACCGACTTACAAAATTGCATAAAAATTGTAGGTTATGGTACGAAATTCAGTTGCGTTCAGTTGCTTTGATTCAATACATAATCTACGTAGTGATCGTACGAATAGACATAGTTTTGGCGGTGAGTTTAAAACATTCTGGAATGGCTTTGTAAATAACTTTTTCTTAATTTTATTATTGCTTAATTGCTATTACTTGTAGATGTTGATGATAAATTCAAATGAATCATATTTACTGGTGCCGCCAAGTATTTTTGTCATTATTTTTTTATTAATTAATCAGTAGCAGTGGGAATATTCTACAAAAATAATTATTTTTACTTATAAAT